AATCACTGCAAGAACAGGAGCCATTCCCGGCTCGGTGGCATACTTTGGGTAATTTTTGTTGTGCATCTGGTGGCTTCGTTTGCGCTTGGCTTAGCCATGCTTAGCCCAAGTGGTAAGGCACCTCCGGCGGACTGCGGTCGCGTTTGGCATCGCGGCTCGCCGAACTTGGTATGTCAAGAAATGTCGTGACCGGATTCGTGTCCTGACCGTGTTTTGTCACTCTCTGGGTGCCATGCCGCCGCCGCGGCTCCCTCGACCGAGCTACCTAACAACTTCTCACCGTGGCAAACCAACTTGCTAAAAGCCTCTAAGCATGATGTATCAACACATGTCCACATTCGTCGAAGACATTGACATTGAAAGTGTAAACGCTGACACACCCGGCAAAGTTGCAGCGACGAGACATCCAACGACAACAGCAGCTTCCTGATGCTACCCAATGTCCAAATGACAACGGACCCGCCCAACATGCTCTGCCTGCCTCCTTTTTGTTTTCCCGGCTTCGATCTCGATCACCACCGCGACTGCGATCGCGGTTGTTTTCCCGACTTCGGTCTCGATCACCACCGCGACTGCGATCGCGGTTGTTTTCCCGACTTCGGTCTCGATCACCGCCACGACTGCGATCGCGGTTGGCTTGCCTGCTGCGGCTCGCGGACCTTGGAGGTCAGCCAAGGGAGATCCACAAGATCCGTCTCTGGAGAAGGTGCTTCGCGTGTCAGTGTCGGCTGCGATTCCTGATGTTGCACTACTGACTACTAGCCACGATGGTCGAATTCTCAGCTGCTGACTTCCGGCGCTCGGGAGAACGGTTCTTCTCCTGCAAGGAACCAGCTCAGGAGCGTTCTTGTCTCGCCTAGAGCTACTTGCACCGGCAAAATCCTCTGAATGAGTGCTCCATTTACGGCAGCTGTTGCAACGGTAAAACTTCTGACAACAAGGGCCACTAGACAAAAAGCCGGACGGAGTAGCAGGCCCAGCGATTTCTTGGGAGCCCAACCTCGGATTGCTCGTCGTCCTTGTCCTTCTCCTTCTAAGCCAACGGCGTTTTTTAGGGTTTAGGGGATGAGGGTATAGGGGTTTAGGGGTTAGGGGCTTAGTTTTCGTGAATAGGGCTGTGCAGCAGCTCCGGCACCAAACGCAGAAAGAGATGCATGCTTTGTCGTCACTCTAGTGCAAATAGTGCAGCGGGGTGTTCTGCAAATCTAGACTTTCTGTCATCAGTTCAATCTGCAGCTGATTCTGAATCCTACGGCACATAGATGGAAATCAAACAACTCACTTCTTTGTGTGCCTCTTTGCCACCCTCTTCTTCGGCCTGACATGACAGCACACTAGCAGCAAGAGCCGTTTGCCTGCGTTCGGAGAAGATTCGGGAATCTGTTTTGTCAGCGAAAACGGCGTGAATGCGATCTCCACGGGCGCGGTTTGCCCTCGATGCTTGAGACAGGGACGGGAGTACAAATCTCTTGAGAGACTTGCATACAGAGGGTATACGACTACAACTGAATATGTCGTAATGAAAACGGACACGAAGATTGGAGACACCTGTTCGGGCAGTCGGGAGTACCCCGGGCGACGTGGGGCTCACGTCACGGCTGAAGCCAAAGGTCCTTGAACATGGTTTCCATCCACAAGTTGCTACTGGTAACAGCTGCTTGGACTGAACGGGCGTTGGCACAGCGCGGGCAATGAATGTCGACTGCAGCGAGCATGGTTTAGTTCTTCTAACATCTCTAATGGACTTGTGCCACTAGTGTTGAGCCGTAGCCTCCAGGTCAACGAGCTCCGGTTCCTCAGTACTTGCAATCCTCTCCGATGTCCAGGTGTGGATCCATACGCCACTGCAGACTGAAAGGACTGTGGAGACTGATACTGCTTGCTCAGTCAGTCATGTCATGTCCTTCCTTTCTGTTTCAGCCATGACAGCAATTCGGCGGCAAGCAGTGAAGTTCGAGCGTAAGGTTCGGGCTCGTGTCTTCTTCCGCCGTAGCGGGGATTCCTGCGCCAAGCACAGACTGGATAGAAAGGTCAGGGCAGGGGCCAATCCTTTCCTGGATGCATGGCTGCCCCCACCCCCCCGTGGGAAAGCCCAGGTGCTGTCCGCACCTTGCCTTACGAGGCGCTTCCCCCCACCCCGCACTCCCCTTCCCCCCTGTGTGGCCCAATCCACGGCCCACTCCTTTCCGTCTTGGTTTTGTGGGCCAACACTCCTAGCTCTCAGGAGGGATACTCCCTTTCATGGCTGGGTTCACCCCACTTTAGCATTAGCCACTCCGTTTTGAACACCTTCTTCCGTCCGGCAATAGGGTTTACATCCGCCTGTGGTTGCATGGACTCTGGACCCAAAGACAAGTGAGTCCAAAGAAATCCGTGCACGTGCGCACTCGAGAAACCTTGCGTGCGCACGCCTCTGCCAAGTCAGATCTCAATCAAGCAAGTCTGGTCTGCGACAGTTCGGCATTTCACTGCAATCTCCCTGCCCGCGCCTCGTTCTCCGGGCTTTTGCTCTTCTTTGGCCCTAGTTTTGTCTCCTCAGCTGAGACTCGCAAGGCAGTTTAGCACACCTCCATTCAGGTCCCCGTCCTCCAGCTGGCCCTGCAACGTGTCGATCTCGGACTCCAGTTCGCGGATGTGTTCCATGAGCTTGCGGTTCTGCACGCGGCGGCGGGAAGTTATATTGCACTATGCAAGGCTGCGAGTACAAGGAGTCCAGGAGACAGCTCCAACTCCACAACGTGCCACCGGGTTTTCATCTGAATTTAACGCCTGGTCCCGTTTCTTGTTGAATTTCTCGACGTGCTGTTCCAGCTTCTCCTGGCTGTGCATAGCCAAATACTGCCAGAGAGCATTTTTGCTCCCGGTCCTCCACGTCAAGCTTTTCCTGACAAAGCGTGTCGAAGCCTCTCTCCAACACTCACACGAAGTCGCTTCCTTTTGCGCCCCGCCTGGCGGGCTTTGCGAGCTTCGTCGCGGACATCCTGGCGGGAATTGATGTGGATCGGTGTGTCACTTGCCACACTGTCTCCCTGACAAGGCTTACAAACGGCAAGAGCATCCAAGAGCTGCAAGCCAACAGGCAGAGATACTAGAAGCCCTTCATGATACAAGGGGTTCGGTGGAGGCTGGCTTTGATTGCTGACTTGGAATCTCCTCCAGCTTGGTCCTTTGCCTATCCGCCTCGTCCCGGGACTCTTCCGCCTGTCTCTCTGAGTCTCTCAGAGCAGAGAAGGCCAAGCTTTCGTCTTTCGCCGAGGCCTCGGAGATCGCCTTCTCCAGCTTCGTTTGCTGGGAGCTTGCAAGCTCCTGCAAGACACAAATCCCACTGCGTCTCCATCAACATCGTGAGCTCACACTGTGGGCTCTTGCTGTAGGCCACAGTCCTTGAGGTCGGCTTCTGCATCGCGCAAAGCCTTGTGCCATCAAGCCAATCATTGTTCCATATACGGGACAAAGACCGTCCGCTGCACTAAGACACGGCTTTGCACGGATACTCTAATCAGGGGTTGCTATGAGGGTACTGTAAGGCTGCTATGAGCTTGACAACTAAGTTCACGCGGCGTGAAGGAAGAGACGCCAATGTGCAGGCTACTGTCTTGCGATGTCTTGCTACAACGCGAGACAGGTCAGCCTGGCTTACTGCATCCGGCCTTTTGTAAGCCGCTGAATAACTTTGCCACCTCCTCCTGAGCACACATGCGAACGTTTGACGTCGAAGAGGCTCGAAGATACGAAATTTTGGTCGATGCGACACAGGACAGAACAGCGATGCGGCTGCATCTGCGGCCGAGATGCCGTGAGGATCATGGTGCGACCCCGGCCCCCGGCGTTTGCCAGACCCAGTGGCTCTGAGCCCTCACGCGATTGTAAGCTTGTTCTGTGCCTATCTGCGTGCATGGTGCAGTCCATCCGCTCATGCCTGGGCACCTCACGAACTTCGGCACTTTTGATCAACTTGACGCAGTGCAGGTTGATCGGTACTAAACCAAGCCCGAACTCTACAAGCCAGGGAAGCAACGCCCGCGGCTGCCAGAAGCCTCAAAGCTTGTACCAAGCCTTGATCTGCGGAACAGCATGCATCCGGTCCATCCAGCTGGTCACGGCTGGGTATGGAGTCAAGCAGTCTGCCGGGACATGATCAGCGACACCTTTGGTAAAGTATCGGAGCTGAGCCAAAATCTGCAAGTCTGCAATGGTTGGCTTGTCTCCGCAGAAGAATGCACCGGTGGCTTCAAGCTTCTGAGAGAAGAAGCCCATAAACTTTGGCAAGTGCTCCGCGAGGAAGGTCTCGCGGAGCTTCTTTACACAGTCCTTTACCTCCGGCCATTCCTGTGGATGTCCGTAGTTCGCGTGACGGCCCATTCCCATGTAAAGGGCAGGCTGCCAGGCTCTGGTCATGTCATCAGACAGACCAATAACCTCCTCAATCTCCAGCATCTTGTCGGCATCAGCAGGGTACAGAGTGTCTGTTGTGTCAAACTTGCGGGCCACCCAGCGCATCATGGCCACACTCTGGGCAAAGCTTTTGACGGCACCGTCTGGATATGTGACTGTCATGACAGGCAATTGGCCATAGGGCGTGCTGGCTTTCATGGCCCCCCATTCCTCGAAGGTCACGCGGTTGTCCTCAAACTCCGTGCTAGTCATTACCAGCGCAAGGCGAACTTTCTCAGCTGCCGCCTCGATGTTGAAGTACGTCAACGAGACTTTCGGCTGCGACATTGCTGGGGCAAGGCTTACTTAAACCAGATGGATGAGTTCACTTCAATGCTGCAGCAAAAAGGGATTGCACGAGTCGGCCTCGCAAGTCAATTCCGCTGGCACAGATCTCTTTGGGTTCTTTTCCCCGCAGAACTCCAAGCAGGTCATTAGGGGCCACGCTGGCCTAAGCCTAGTGACTAGTGCTCCTGCAGTGTGTTTGCTTGAGGGGGAGGGGAGGGGGAAATTGGGTGGCGAGTCGTGGTCATCCTTGCAATCATTTCAAGCACGAAACCCAGGCGTCAGAAAAACTTCCGAGCCTCGGAGTAGAGAGAGAGAGAGAGAGAGAGAGAGATTAAGGTGGCGAACGGCTTGTGCGTAGGGACTGCAGAGGTGAAGTTTGGCCTGACTTCCGGCTGATTCGGATCTTCGGCACTCCAGAAGATAAGCGCGCCACCGACGACCGTGTGAGCAAAGAAAGGTCTGGGTCCTGCACACTGCAGTGTAAATTTGTGCCGCTATGGCAGCGGCTTGACAATACTTTCCTGCTCGGGAACAAGGGAGGACCGACCCAGACCAGAACCACCCAAGAAGTTCAGAAAGCGTGCAGCGCCTGGAGATGCAAAGCAATGCAAACTGACCGCGTCCAAGCCTCCTTCGCCGTCGCCGTGCTCATGACCTGCCACCACGGGTCTTCATACTATCATGGTTGCGACTGGCTGAACTCTGGGTATTGCGGTTACTATCTCTATAACTCTTCTATCACTTTGACATCACCATCATCACCAGCAACAGCTTCCCCACACTGGCATGGCCAGTGCATGTCAATGTTCTCTCATGACTACCCTCATCGTCGTTGTAGTAGGTCATAAAGGTCATAAAGGCGGAAGTCTTGTCCTAAGGATGCACTTCCGCTTTCCCAGTCCGCCTGGGTGGGGCCGGGGCCGGGCCGTGGCACGCGCTTCTCCGGCACACCTGGGAGGTGACTCTTGGCTGCTCAGGGCTCAGATGGCTCAGGTCCATCTCTTTAGGACCGTAGGCGAAGCATCGCGAGCCCCTTGCCACAGTCATGCAAAGCTTCCAAGCGCCTGGCAAACGAATTTTGCGCACATCGATGTGTTCGGGCAACAGGAAGCTAAAAAACAGCAGAAAATCAGACTTTATAGAAAAGCATACCAGCCTCGACAAAGAAGTATCGGAGAAACATGATCTGCGAAACAGGGCAGCGCAACGAGGCGTTGTGCGGCGACCCGACTCAACCCACGGAGCTGGGTGCCCGACTTTTTGAAAATCACGGCAGTCTCCGAGAGGCCTTGAGGGCCTTCACCGAGTCACACTCAGCGCTTCAGAGACCACAGGCTGACACTGAGGGGGCAACCAAGCGGGCCACCAGGTGGGAACCTGGCGCGAGTGGGCTCGTTCCGTCTTGAACCCTTCAACCTCCAAGTTCCTGGAATCCCGAATCTCGTGCAACCAATTCTTCTTCTGCTCTAGATACGAGCCAAGTCAACATCTCAAAGAGACAACAAAACTTCAGGGACCGACCACGGGCTGCTAGAGCCCAAAGCACTGTACACTGTACACTTGCCGGTCAGGCTTCTTCAGAAGCGGGGGCGCCGTGCGCCTCCCTCAAAACTTGCCCTTGCCCTTGCCCTTGCCTTTCTCGCCTTTGCCACCACCGGAGCCATACTTTGGGCCCTTCGCTGCTGCTCGGCTTACGCAACTGGCAATCCACTCGCCTGTGCTCGGAAAGCCGGGCTGAGCGGTGCCAATGCAACGGAAGTAGGCACCCCAATCACCTACGGACTCCTTCCGCTGGCGCCATTCTGACTGCAGGTGCTCCAAGCGTGCAGGCAGCTTGCAATTGGTCTCCTCCATGTCATTGAGAGTTTTGGCCACATCCCCAATGACGATGTCTACTACGGCCATCTGAAACATAAGAATCTCCCTCGAGACCTTGGTGGCCTGAAACACGGGTCCACCCTGGGGTTGGGTGCCAGAGCGTTGCCACCACATGACCCAGCGGAGCGAATTCTCATCTGCATACGTACTGAGAAAGACATCCCTCGCTGGGCAAGCCGGGTATCCTTGCATCACCGTGAATAACACCAGCAAAGCTCCCAGATCTGGCGAGTGGTCCTTGTGCCGGAAGGACTCTTCGTTCACGAACCGCGTCAGGGTTGCGCCCACCTTGTTGCGGAGGCTTTCTCGAGTGTCTACCAGCCAGCGGAAGGTGCGCCAGAAGTTGCACAGCGCCTCGAATGTTGCAATCGCTGCACTTTTGTCTGCATCAGGCCTCATCATCTCCACGATCATCTGGTTGATGAGGCGCGGGAACACTTCCATGGCTGCTGCATCCTCGCTACCAGCCTCGAACACCTTCCTGCCAATCTGCAAGACTTGCTTGCTGAGCTCCTCACGCCACTGAACGCTCCCTGCCGCATGCGCCTCGTTGATCCACACTGGCAAGAAAAACTCGAAGGGTGACTTGTTGGTGTTCTGACGAAGGCCCCCGTCAAAGGCCTCCTTCGAGAGAAGTTCACCAGCCGTTCCCAGATTCTTTCGCTCTCGGCTGACGCCCACACCGAGCAAGGCCTCGGTGTAAAGCTTGCCTGTGCTCCAGCAGCAGATGTTCTTGTCAACCTTGGCCACTGCAGATTCTGCTTCACTCGCCGGCCGAGAGCCAGAGGACGTGGATGCTACATCAGACAGTAGCTCCAGGAAGATGTCAAGTTGCTCCTCCTTTTTTGCCAGCCCGACCCGGCGAGCGAAACTACCGATGCGCTCGGCCAAAGAATCGTCCCCACGGCAGATTCGGCGCAGTTGCTGCTCCACCTGCTGCTTGCGACGCAGTTCGTGGATCTCATCCTCATCAAGGATGGGCAAGACTGCCTTGGGATTCTGCTCGCAGAAACGGACTGCCGACTGGTACGTCTTGTCCCGCTCCTGCTGTGTCATCTGTTCCCCCAGATCACAAAGAACAGACTGCAGCTGAATCAGGAGGGTTGTGACTGTGTAGGCGGGGCTCCAGCCACTGCCAACAGTGCTCTTCCACTCTGTGTGAACGTGGCCAAAATTGCCAAGGACGTCTAAGCAAATCACGAGCTTTCCCTTAAGCCGTCCGTCTTGCTGCACGTACGAGGCGCCGCCGCGATATTGAAAATCGAAAGAGAAGCCGATATTGGGTGCACTCAGCGGATAGTCACAGGGAAAGTCGATCAAAAAGTGGAGCGGGACTGTGACACAGCCAAGGTGTGTCACTTGCATCTGAGTCCCAATTACACCATCCCACAGGCTCAGGTCAGCATCCGAGCAGGGTGCTGCTGCCGCCAAAGGAATGGGCTCTGCTTGGAGGCCCTTGAGGTCGGCCAGGATCCGTCGGCGCGCGGCTTGGCTCAGTGGAGTCGAGGAGGGCATGGCGCTTTGGCGTGAACAAGTGGAAGTTCTTACCAACTACTTGAGCATGGAAGGGCGCTGCGGCCAGGACAGTCGGCACGGCAACTGCCCAACGGATTGTCATGAACCAAGCAGGGGTCCATCCAAGTAACTCCCCATCTTGCACCCCGCCTCAACGGCCGCGTTGCACTCGCCTCAGCAGCCACGGCATCGAGGAAAGCCCAGTCGTTCAGCGTGCTGCTCCAGACCCTGGCAGCGTGTCAGGGTTTCCGAGTCCCCCGTTGAGGGCTTCCCCCGCGACCCTCGGCCCCTGCCTGTCGAAGCGCTCTCCGCTGATGGGACAAACCTAAACGACATAAGCACAGCTAAGCTAGGTGGCATGAGAGGATGAATATTGCACTTTGCTTTGCCGGGCAATCGGCAGAGCGACGCTCATCGCACGGAACCTGTCGAAGGGGCGAAACGCAGATTACCTAAAGCATTCCGCCAAATTCCAGATTGCAAGAAATGTCGGAAGAACTGAGTGTCTGTGCAACTCAAACGCCGAAAGCCAACTACCATAAACAAACGAGGCCGCCTCCCAGCGCTCTTCGGGTAACTCGTCCAAGGCAGCGGGAGCCTCAACCGGGGCCGCCTGAACAAGGAAACGAGCATGACTTGAACGATGGACACATTCTGCAGCATGGTAACAGGCGCAAGACATGGTATCACCCCGACCAGGTGCATCGTCACCGTCCTCGTCACAATCATCATCATCACCACCAAATACCATCATCCTCATCCCCATCCTCGGTGGTGGTGGTGCTGGTGGTGCTTCTGCCCGTGTTGCTGTTGCTGCTTCTGGATCTGCGACGGTACGGCTTTGAGAGGCACATGGAGTCGTGGACTTTAAAAGCCAGTGCCACATTAAAGTGGTGCGCTGTTCTCTACACACGCTTAAACCAGCACCTACCATACCTCCTCCATACTGAAAACTGCTCGTCGAAGAACATGCCCGAAAAGCTTGATGTGCTGAGTCAGTGGAGGTGGCCCAGTTCGATACCAACCCAGAATGCCTGCAGGCATTGGCAATGCATTGGGCATGCGTCCCCGTGCATACCAGTTTCCCGATGTCGAAGCATACAAGTCAAGAGCCTTGCCGACATCACCCCCAAGCCGGAACAGCGCAGGGCCCACAACGAGGTCGCCTTGAGCTTTGAGCTGGCTATGCAGGAAGCCGAGAGTTCAGGGACGGGCTCTCCGCGAGCACATGCACCGCGCAAACCGAAGTATTCGTAGTCAGGCTTACTGAGTGAAACCATGGCCGTTGCTATATGCAGTGCTTGCATGCAGTCCTATTCTTTGTCAAGCGCAAGATGACAAATCGCCTTGACATTACTACCAGCTGGTGCCTACCATTGAATGGGTCCAGGTTGACATCTGTCCATCAGCAAAGCTCTGCATGGTGCGGCTCGGCGGCGGTTGCCGACCCAGTCTGGGATGGAATCCATCCAGCCTCTAGCTTCGGAGTTCATCTGCCTGCATGTCATGGAGAAAAAGAAAAAGGAAGCGTTTGGAAAAGATAGAGGAGCCCTGCGCCTGAGCTCCTTCCGCTTTTTGAGGCTTTCGTTCTGCCGTCGCAGCTTTTCGCGATTGGCGAACCGGAGTCCTCTGCAAAGTCTCTGTTAAGGGAACTCAGCTACCTGCTGCACCGTCCTGTCGTGCCGCACTGAAAGGGCAGCCCGTCAAAGACCCACTTCAGCATTACCTGAGGATGCGATGGAATACGCAGCTGGCCGGCCTCCACGCTTCGCGCAGAAAGCACCCTCACAGACAGATCGGATCTCTGTGGTGCCAAAGACTTTTGCTTTAAGAGGTGTCAACTTCTGGAACTGCCACAGACTGCAACAGCACTGGCTGTCCCCCTGCGGCCAGATAACATCAACGGCAAGGTCCACCTGCAAGTAGCCTCCGGGAGCAACATGTCGAAGCTTGCGCTTAGACTTCAATCGACAAGATCCGTCATCTGCAAGGCAGCCAAGAAGCTGAAGCTGTGCGAGACCCGCTGGGCCAGGTCTACAGAGCGGCCAGTGGACCGGAGTTTCTCCTCACATCACAAGACTCTCAAAATTTAGACCTGCACACGGCACGCCGTGTGATCCTCCAGCATAAACACAAACTGCATCAGCAGCAACATCTCACCTCAGTGTGAAATGCTGCCTTGATCGAGACAACTCAGATGCTCACACGGGAAAGCCGTTGCAGACACGTTGCCGGGAGACATTGCATCTACATAGACCATTTGCTCGCCAGCAGCACCCAGGATTTTTCGTCCGACCTGACCGGGCAGAATCGGCACCAGAGTCAGAGTTTCTACGTCACCTCGTGAAAGGAATGCAGAAGCCGTAACTGGCGATATCAGCGTCCTGTACGGACTAATGTACAGAAGTACAGCAACAGCACTGCTTAAGAAATCATTGGTTTAAGAAATTAAGCCCCTCGGACAGCCGTACGATAAAAAATGTACACAAAAAATGCGCACGTTGGAAACAAGAAATGCAGGGTACACTGGACTCGGCGTGCCAATTTCTTATTTTGCTCTCCTCATTTTGCCTTCGCTGGTTTTGTTCGAGCAAAAAAGAGGGAAACCAAGAAACTGGAGTAGATTTCATATTCCAAAAGCACGGCGCAAAGCCCCATGCAAAGCCTCTAAAGCCGTTCAAATTAGGCAAGCCCAGAACCCCCAAAAATGAGAAATCGAGCCCCTCAATTTCTTAATTTAAGAAATCGAGCCCGTCAATTTCTTATTCCCCACACTCCAGAAAAGTCCACGCTTCAAATGCTGCTGCACACTTGTTTCTGTCATTTTGGCTTTTTACAACCCACTGCACTTGCAGCCATTTCTGCGACTGGAAGGCACACGGCAATCCCTTCTACAACCATGATGGCAACAAACGTCCGACTCAGCCGTCGCCTTAGCGTGCCCCTTGTCGGGAGACGCAACCGTGGTTGACCGCCAGGTGCTGACCTTCTCCTCCTCCTTCTCCTTCCTCCTCCTTCCTCCGCACCACTCACAAACTCACTCGCCACTCGTCGTTACTCACTCACCACATCACGCACTCACTCACCACATCACGAACTCACCCATCATCAGCTCTGTACTCAACCACATCACGCACTCACTCACCACATCACGCACACACCCATCATCAGCACTGTTGGATGCCGCGCGCGCTTCGGGGCCAGCACCCTCCGGAAGGCTGTAAACGCGACTGGCCGCAACTGCTGTAGCCATGTTCCGACAAACCTACGGCCTCTGCATTGGAATGGGTCATGGCTTGTTTTTAGCCACGTAGTTGAGGCTGGCGCGGTTTGTGTTTGAAGGGCAACCTTGCGTCTTCGCTGAGCTGTAGGTTAGCCGTCACGGAATATTTCTTTCGAACATCCCTGCTCAGATTTCCACGGTGAAAGGGCAGGGACGACGTCGCCACTAACAGCTTCGAGCTGAGAAACGTTTTCCTTGCAGGGATGTTGTGTTTTTGTGTTTAGTGTGTGTTTCACTTGTGTTGGTTTTCCTATATGGCCAAGCCTTATTTAAGCCCGTATTAAGCCCTTACAAAGCCTCTAGAGCCGTCCAAAGCTGCTACTAAAAGGCTTTGCCATGTAGGAAAAACTACAAAAATAAGAAACTGAGAGGCTCGATTTCCTAAATTTAAGAAAATGAGGAGCTGGATTTCTAATTTTGGGGGGTTCCGGGCTCGCCTAATAAGGGCTGAAGCTTCGGACGACTCTAGAGGCTTTGTAAGGGCTTAGTACGGGCTTAAACAAGGCTTTGCCATATAGGAAAAACCACCAAGATAAGAAATTGAGGGGCTCGATGTTCTTACTTTGGGGGGTTCTGGTAAGGCCTAAATACAAGCTGGATATGAGATGCATATGGCTTGTAAGAACTCTGAAGGATGCCATGCCCAAGTGAATAAGCGCATGAGCTGGAATGGAAAGTGCTGCGGGCTCAAATCTGTCACTGCTTTCGTTTATTGAATTTGTGTTCTCTTTGCTGCTGCTTCAAGTTAAAACAAATCTGGATTAAGAAATCCAGGGTACCCTCAAATCCCGAAACGTCCTTTCATTAAAAAAAAAGGTGCGCTTCAAACTTAAAAAATCGAGCTCCCCCCCGTCACGAAACCTTAACTGTTTCTGAACCGGCGCTGTCGCTGTAGCAGCACCCACTCACGGGTGCCCTTGACGGACCCTCAGAAGCCAAGAACACAGGGAACCCTCTCAGCCCTCGGCTGGCTGCCGCCGTCGTTCTCTGGCCTCGCCTTTCCTTAGGCTGGGGCACCCTCTTCACACCAGGAACACTGTTCGACCTTCTTGCAGTGTGACCTGATTGGAGGATCCCGTCCAGCAAGCCTAATTCTCCGAGCATCCGAGGCATCTGGGACATGAATTGCCGAAGCCAGGCCTGCCGGAACGGAAGTAGAGCAAGCAAGCCATTTCGGAGAACCGGAGCATCCACATTGTACATCTCAATGAACTTGCACACCCCAGGCAAATGCGGACCTCCGAGAAGCCCAGCGAGGGCATGCCCTGCAAAAACTGCCTTGTGCGGGGTGCTGCAGCGAAAGGCTATCAACCCAAGACCAACTCTGATCCGCTGTAACGCATTAAATCAGCCCTGTGCGCAGCTCTCGTTCCCCCTGCAAATCGCACAACCAGGCCTGGTTGGGACCAGGGGCATGTCCTCGTCGTCGGGAATCTTTTCCACCTGCAATGCAGGCTGGCGGCCGACTTTGCAGCTGTCGACAATTCACCAGTTCACCCACCTCATCGTCGCTGACGACGGTGGTGACATCACCCTCCACTCCCTCCACTTTCACACGTTTCTTGGCTGGTTCTGCGGCGGTCTCCTTGGAAGTCTCCGCATCAGCCTGCGCCAAGGAAGCAGCTTTACAGGCTCAAACGCTCCCGATTGCAGGCCTGGCGCCGTGGATCTGGAGGCCGCGCGGGGCCTTTGCCCTGCCGGAGGTGCATGTGAAGTGCGTGCCGAAGAGCTCCGGATGTATTATGATGCATTTAAAGATCACCACGCTAAAAAATATCAAAAGGCGTGACACTGCGACGACAATTAGACTCCACAAGTGGTGGCTCCCTTTTCCGGCCTCCGCCCTCGGATCTTGAGGCCTCAAGAGTAGCACATGCAACCCGCATGCCGTGCCCTCCTCCGAATGCCATGAGCACCAACACGGCACAGCATCAAAACAGGTGCCGCACTTCTTGTCCTGCAGTCGCGGGTCCTGAACGTGTCAGGATTCACCCGGGTGAGCTCTGAATGCGTTTGCGAGCTGTGAGCACATCCCACTTTGAACAATGGTGCTGGGGATGTGCTACGTCCAGCGGCAGTGGTGTTTCTCCCACTTCTCCTTGGCATCGCTGCGCTTCTGCTCACTTCGAAGCCGCGGGTCCTCAGCAGGCTCTGCTAGATCGCATCCTGACGCTGCCACGCCGCCCTCCACCTTTTTACTGCTCTGAATCTCTGAAGATCTAGACTCATCTTCAGCCCAAGCACACGCTCTGATAGGATCTGTTGGTGCCTGGGCGATGCATCGAGAACTCAAAGGACGTTTGGACCAGAACCAGGCCTTCGCTCCAGCTCCTGCAGAAGTTTTAGTCCAACATGAACGGTCTGTAAGCTTCGGAAGATGTTACAACAAGCCTTTCCAACTAGTATTCCGACTGCTGGAACAGCTGCCCGTTGTTGCGGACCTGCTTGAACTGGGACAGCATGGCCATCGCCTCTACAATACAACAAGAAGCGACAATACATGCAGCATCGAACCCTCTCATGGTGACAAGCACCTTGTAATACCTTGTACAATCTTGTACAGTAGAAGCTGCCCTGCAATCCATTGAGCCGCAGAGGTTCCAGCTTAGAGTGTCTATCTTGCATGGAACAACGTTCACACAGACAGCCCTTTCCGCCATCCCGCCTCCTGCCGCTGATTCTTCTGCTGCATGGCCTTGATAAGACCCGTGGGATGAGTGCAAATACTGCAAAGCGGTTGCCAATCCGACCGGTAGCTGAAGCAGTCAATGTGGCGAACCGAAGTTCTCAAATCTTGAATGTATATTGATTTCTATAGCACAAGAGAATACAATACAGTCACAGAGAGTGCACTGTTACAGTGTAAATTGTATAAAGAAATTGTCCTTGAAGTACGACTTCAGAGAAATGGCACGTCGCTGTGGCTCGTACGATGGCCTTTCGAATCTCCGGCACCTCAAAGGTGCGGAGGACTCAGGCGATCAAGCTTGCTCCAGATCAAACTTCCGGATTTTAGGGTTTAGGGCGTTTAGGGGGGTAGGGCGCTCAAGGGTTTAGGGTTTAGGGGTTTAAGATTTGGGGTTTAGGGGTTTAGGGTTTAGGGTTTAGGGTGTAGTAACTTGTTTCGGAAGCCTTCTGCAAAAGCCCAGGGAAGAAAATGACAGGCTATGAATCCGGAAACAAGGGTCGAACGGCTTCATGCACCTAACCTTAGCCAAGCTTGAATTCAGCTACATGAAACCTCTCGACGCAGAAAGCCTTGAAAGCCTTGGTCTGAGGTAAACTAAACCTTCCAACTCTGATGGCCCGGAACCTTCATGATCTCTTGCAGTTCATCGGGCTTTGGCGGCTTGCGCCTCAAAGCAAAGAGCAGTTGGAGAGCGGTTGATGGTGCAGCATGTTGGTGTCCATAGCTTGCCGGAGCACTCGATGATCTTCGTCAAGATCTGGAGCCGGCGCTCCACTACCTCGTCTGACTCCAGTGCCATGGACGCCTTAGAAGCTTCGATGTGTGACCAATCTTCCATACAATCTCATTCCGAGCCCAGCTCCAATGATGAAGGCGCATCCACCTCTTCAAATTCTTCTTGTATGATGCTGGAGCAGACCGATCCAGAACTAGCTGCTCTCACTGCAGGCTTCCTACTGACTCCGGCATGATCCTACAAACATATGACATGGGCCAGAAGAGCTTGGATGAAGCTGCCATATCGCCTGCTGGGCTGCGGCAGGTGCTTGTGGCACTGCCTGCATCACTGACCGGGCAACCGGGACGGCACCCGACGTACTGGACGTGAGAACACAAGGTGCCTGCGCCACGGGCGCAGGCGGAGGCACAGCCTGCAACTCCGCATGACCCAGCACCGCTGTCACACCACAGCTGGCTAGGAGACTGGTTTATTGATGATCAGACGCACAGAAGGCGATCCTGGCATTTTCACGAACGACTGTGCTCCAGGCTTCGGCAAACAGAATGCTGAATGGTCCAATCGACTGAACCCCCTTCAGGATTCATAAGTAGGGTGGGGCAGGAGCAATTTCACAGCAGTGTACCGACGCCAGGCCGGAAGCACAGGGATAGACTCGGATAGACTTCCGAGTGAATATACCGAGACTGCCCTCCCCGCCGCCCACGGAACCTGCACAGGAGGCTGGAACCTGGCAGGTCGAGCTGCGGCTTTCGCAAAGCAAGGGCTGAGATCTGTCTCAGCTCCCGGCGCGGTGGCAGCCTGCAGAGGATCAAAACATGTTCAATGCCAAAGTACCAGCTTCCAGACGGGATCTTCTTGAATCAGTCTTGAGTCTTCTGCTGTGGGTTGCTTCCGATGGAAGTGTTGTCTTGGGGTTCAGAATTATTCATGACGACTTTGAGAACGGCTTTGGCGACGATAGAAGACTCGGCTGGGATTTCGTTTCAGCTGTGGCGGCTTCTGCCCCTCCAAGCGGTCCAGTGGAAATGGGAGGGAAATCTTTGTTAGAAAACCTCTGCCTGGAGTCGGCATCAAGTTTCTAGCCTAGCGAAACTCACATTAAATCTCGATTTTCGCTGCCATCCCATACACCTCAGCCCACGATAGGTCGCATACCCAGCATAGCCATCACCGAGATGAGAGGAGCCAGCTCCCACGGACCATGAACCCTGAGCTCCAAACCTCAAGCCGGGAAAGTCTTGAACCCGAAACCAGCACACGAACCAATACCAATACCTCTGCTTTTACTCTTACGACGTTTCTGAAGGGCTCTCTTGTAGCTATGACAAGCATTTTAGTTACGTCCGCACACCATCGATCATGACTGCGGAGAGGCCCAGACATGGAAAATAGAAAGATCGGTCTCTTGGGTGATCGTTGCGGTGTCCCAGGAGTCGAAATCCGAGTTGCAAACCTTAACCCAAATTCCAAACTCAGGTACTGAGGTTACGGATACTCCTGGGATGGTACTGTGGCTGGAAAATGGAAGCACAGGGTGGAGCATCTTGGGGTTGGAGTCCTGGGGTGGGGGCGGATGGCACCATACACCTGGAATAGGCAAGGTCAGGTTTAATTACAGAGACATGAGAGCACGACTATAGCATTCAGCTGCTTTCATGGATCTCACATTGCTTTCATTGCCCACCTGGGGCTGGAAAACCACCGTCAGCTTGTCAAAGACACCGAGCGGCCTTGTGCTCCAGAAGTGTGGATGTAGGGCTGAATGCCCATTGTTTTAGAGCCGCTGTCCCAGTCGTTCGCAGCAAGAGACCACAGTTATTGAAAACTCAAAGGTTTGGGCTAGGTTTTCGGGTTTGTAGCTTCGCTTGCAGATGTGGCCGGTCCTGTTCACCTGCTGTACAAGCACACTGCTTACAGCTGACAGTTGAAGGTCTCCGAACATCCACCATCGGGGCACTCCCAGCTTGAGGTCCCAGCAAAAGCTCGTGCTTCCTCCAGGACTCCTCCACCATTTTCTTCATCCTCAGTACTTAAGCTTTAAGCCCTGAACCCGAGCTCATGGGACCGTTCCCTGCGCTCTCTATGCTCAGGATGCGACCAGGCATGGCTTTCGCGGTCGACCTTTTGGCAGGCCACACCTGTCGCAGGCTTCAGTGCTTCGACACTACAAAGCACGGCAGTCCGGCAGGGGAAATCAACGGCCATAGGAGAAACACCCACAGTCCAACATAGAAGCTTTAAATTTGCCAACGCGTGTTTTGAGCTTCCAACGGCCAGTTACATCCTGTTGTGTCATATGCCAATCCGTGCATTGCAAAGTCTTGCCACAGATCAACTGCACAGCGAGAACACAGAGTTTTTTCTGGTTTTCCGCATCTATGACTGCAGGTTTGCCTGTTCTGGCTTGAGCTGTCGGCTTCTCGGTTTCAACATAAGGACAGGCAGTCAGAGTTTGCCTCCAGAAGAACGGTCCTAATGGCTGTGGACAGGTGACAGAGTGCTATCCAAAACCAGGTTTGGACACTTGGGAAGAGGATCCTACCCTGCTTGCCTTTTCAGGAGTTATGAAGAAGAAGAAGAAGCTCTTGCTTCTTGACTGGCACTGGTCTCTTTTCAACCACCTTAAAACCCTAAACCCTAAACCCTTTAGAGCTTAAGTGCTGGCTTCAGGCCTCCTAGGCCCTAGGCGGAGCACCGCGAAGGGCCGCATTTCCGAAAAGCGAGGGCCCGGGGCCCCCAGCCCAGAGCTTCGGGAAGGCGATCCGCGAAGTGCACCTTGTAGTCCTTCCCCACCTGAAGGTTTGGTTTTTTTTGTTAAGCACGGCGGAATCCTCATTGAGGAAGGCTACTGCCTGACAACTATGCCCCCTTCAGAAAGGTAGTCGACACCAGAGGCCACTAAGGATCGAGGGCAGGTTCACGGCTCCCATTGGCATCATCTTCACCCTCACGGCCCTCCTCGTGCTCATGCTCATGCTCTCCGTCCAGGCATGTCTCCCTGTGAACCCAAGGAACCGTAGCTGCTTCACTCGACTGCTCTTCCATCGCGTGTCCCTCCCCCATCCCTACCTGTGACGCCTGTGCTAGCTGCACGATGCCCTCCAAGGTATCCCTGTCGTAATTTGCCACCAGGTCATGCGTCTCAAGGAGCTCTCTGCGACTGGCTTGGTTTAAAGTTTAGGGTTTAGTAAAGATTAGGGTTTAGGGGTTTAGGGCTTTAGGATTAGGATGGATTAGGCCGTGAGCTTATGCTCGTTTCCACCTTCTTGAGGATGCTGTCCACAACGAAGAGCAGCGGCTGTATCCTCACAGGAAGCAGTTCAAAAGGGCCTCCTCTAATACTCCACGCCACACCCCATCTCAATGGGGATTACCACCACCCCCCCCTTTTGCATCCTGTCTGAGCTGGCTCCATGGATCTCTTCGGCAACTGCCTGTCACGGCGGTCTGGGAATGGGCCGCTGGGAAAAGGTTAAAAAGCGCCCTGTTCCGACCTGCACCACTGCATGGGAGTTGCCATAGAGGCTCTGCGCCAGGTCCTGTGCGATGCAGCTATCATGGAACCATCCCTTCGGAATTCTGAACACCCCGCTGAAGCCTGCTGCATGCTCGCAAACCCCGGACTGACAACGAGTGCACAAAGTCGTATGCTCAGATACATTAGTGGATGGCTTTTGCATCAGAACCCGGCTCGCCACTCGTGCCCGGAGAAAAAACGCTGTGCCTCGTGGAGCTTTTCGCTGGTTCTATCAGATTCAATCAATTCACGGCACATCGTCTCTTTCGCGGTTGAGCCCAAATCGTTTGAGAACTTACGGCCCCGCATGCTTTTTGGGTTTTGGACTTCGTGAAACCGCGAATTCCCCTTTCAAAGCTGCCGCATCTTAAAGAGCACGAGCATCAGTGGTCTAAATTCGGGCAGGGTGTCACGTCACGCACCTGCAATGCATTAAAGTTCAAGTTGAGAAGCCACAATGTCAGATATCCGCATGAAAATGGCACACCAAAAACCATGCACGCAAGCCCTCTTTTGCATGGTGGATTGGTGTGGCTGCCGACTCCCGGGATGTTCCTTCGGTCGAAGACCTCAGCCAAGAAAGAGGTCGTTTCGAAACACAGGAGGGTCCCCTCCTTCAGGGCCTACGGCACCTGTGGATCGGGAACCCTCCTTGTACAGAAAAGAGTTCCAAAATTTTGTGCCGTCCAGAAAGAAGCCTGTACAGGAGGCAGCCACATCCTCACCGGGCGCCCTGCGTGGGCCCATGGGTGATGTCAGAAGGATCGTCGAAAATACGATCTTCCAGAATAGAGCGGATGAGGGAAAAATGCTCGAGCACGGGTTCCACCGGCAAGCAGAGAGACGGAGTGAAACCTTGAAAGTTGGGATGAGTCAGATCATCAGCCCAAGTGTTGAAATCACGCTTGACGTGGGAGGGAGCGAGCTGCATACCATGCCGGTGCAGCTGGTACAGTATCTCCATGAGGATGACCGACGTTGGCATCCTCTTGGACTTATCGTTCAGGAGCGAGTACACATTCCCTTGGTTGTCGCTGACCAGGGGGAGCCTGAGGTTCGGTATGAACGCAGGCGCCTTCTCCATGAGAAAGTGAGAAAGGATCAGTGTGCCAAACATCTCGAGGGCAGCAATGCGCTTTTTCGGGCAGCCCTTGTCAAAGGCCCATGGATGCCGCTCTGCAGTGACCTGGTAGTGGAACCAGAACACTTCCGACTTGGACGGGGAGTCCGCGTTAGAAAGCCAGCCGCCCACATAGGCGCTGCCATCATCTGAGGCGCTAGCATCACTTGCCCCCGACCAAATGGCAAGCGGGGCATACGGCGATGCTTGTCTGAACTTCTGGTCAAAAAGAGAGAGGAGCAGAGCTGAGAGTGCACGGATAAGCTTACCCGGACGTCCTGCGGTTAGGCAGGCCTTCTTCCAAGCCCAAAAGGGTTGGAGGAAAGGCTTGGTGAGGGGGCAGGCCGTTGTCGCCCACTGCAGCCTACCCAAAGCGCTAGCAATCTGAGAAGCCGACATGACTTTACCGCTTTTAAGCTC